TTTCATCACTGCACACTCAGTTCTGGTTAAGGACAATATTTACAATAATTGGTGTTTTATGTTCTTGCAAAATGCAAAGATCATAGATAGCTCTCCTATGATGAAGCTTCCACTAAGGAGGGTTTCACACTTCTTTCTATTACAAAACTCATATATAAATATGAAGTAGAGATCTTTGAAAAATCAAAGGATGAAGCGAGGATTGTAGCTTGATTTCTTGTGTAATTGACATCTTTCTTTTATCTTGCTTGCTTTAAAATAAGATGTTTATCTTCCCTTTATAACAACCAAAAATAGATCCCTTATGGGTTGCTTAATTTTTAAGTAGATGTTGACATCGTTGTACTTTGCTTTTTTTAGTCATGTTAGCTTTTTCTATAGATAAGGTGTCTTATAAGTAAGTCATCACTCCAGGTGTTTTGAACAAAGTCTTCAATACAAGTCTTTTGAGAAGTTGTGTTTTAATTAAAGTCTTTTGATACATAGACTAAAGTGTTGATCTTTTGAACTAAGTCTTCAAGACATTTCTCCTAAGAATAAATGTTTAAATTGAATCTTTTTGAATCAAAAACACAAAATTCTCATCTTCTTGCTTCAGACATATAGTGCTAATAGACAATCCACCAAAATTGATTCTTATATAAAGATGACTTGTGGATCTCTTTTATAGTTCAAGGAACCATGATCTCATATAGCCTTCTAATCAAATTTAAATATTTCTAAAACACTTGAATAAATTTATTATCACACACATGAAAACTCTTCTTATTCTAAAATTTGAAACAAATAATTTATCATTATTAAAATTATTTTTAGGAAAAATTCAACAAAATGTAATCGATAACATTGCAATTTAATCGATTACATAAGAGTTGGTGTTTTATGGAAAGGTTTATAAATATGTCACTCGACTAATGTTTCTCTTGTGCGATTCTTTTTATCCTTTCTCTCCAAATATCTTGTTAATTATTGACATTGCTTAATAATTCTTGAAATCTTGCTTGCATGTTTTGTGTTTTAAAGTTGAATTGATTAATCTTTCTTATTTGAATATGATATAATCATTCTAAAAGATCAAGAAAATTTATCCAAGAACAAGATTTCTGGTTGGTATTTTCCAAAATGAAAAAAAGGGTAAATTCTTTTGCTATGCATTTAAGATTTTGAAACACCAATTTAACCCTTTTTAGTGAGCCTAGATTTCAATAAGACGGTTAGTGAAGGTGGAATTGAATAAACTGCTAATGTAGGGGATTTCTGAGTAGAATATGTGGATGATGCATAGTGCATGTGGTAAGTGTTGAAATATTTTACATTTCATGATGTTATAATGATGGATGTGTGACATCCATGATTATGGTTGAGATGTGCAAATGTTTTCTGTGTAGAAAGGATGTGTATGTGGTGATAGAGCTTGAGGCTTGGTGTATATGAATGTTTATATCCATGTTGTGCATATTTTCATATATAATTATTCTTTTGAGATCAAGCCTACCATTATTTGTTGTGTTTTTGAATGTGATGATAATGTCTTTAACACGAGAATAGATTAGGAGTAGCTTATTAGAGTAGTGGTTTGAAGCTACAAGTTGAATCATTTGAGGATGGTTGACCCAAAGATATTAATCTCATGGGATATATATCGTTTTAGGTTAACTTCGGATCTTTTAAGTTGTTTTACTTTTATGTATATATTTAGGATGTTGTAATCCAATAAGGGGATTCATTTTGTGGTTCTATCAAGGATTCTTTTGTTGGATAACTAGATGTTATGGGTAATCCATGTTACCCTTTATATATTCATATATGTTGTCATATATCCATGAATTGCTTATGTATGAGTATCATAGCTAGGGTAGATGACTTTTGTGTGATGGACATTATGTTAGATCCATGTGGTGACCTGTCTAGTTGTTACATGCTAGGTCTGTAATATCATGTTTTTCTTAAAATTAAAATAACAGTTAAATATGGTAATGTTATTTTTATTGGCTTAATTTATGATTTTAATTGGGCTTATTACTTGCAAAAAAAAACTTTTAAAATTTATTATTTTGGGCTTCTAAAATCAATATTTATTTATTTTTATTTTAAAACAACCAATTTAGTAGGTATATACTTTTTAAAAGTAGGTGAAAACTAATTTTAAAAGTGAACTTTTAAAATCGATTATTTATAACCATTTTAAAATTGATTGTACAATTTTAAAATCAATTATTCCTTTACGAGCCCAAACTTGATCTAGATCGTATCGCCATCATCCCAACCCCGACCCTGCCAACTTTGCCACCAACATACCAACAAATTTGGAAACATTGCAAGATTAATAGAATAACACAATCCAACACATTTTGTTATCCATGCTTTTTTAATCAAAAAATATATAAAACAAATACAAGAAACATATTGTTCAATAACGAAGGGAGGCAACGTGGTGATGAACAACACAACTTTGAGCGAAGGTGGGGACACAAGCTACAACACCAGGCGACGACAAAATTGGGTGTGATGAAGAATACAAGACCTAGAGAGAGAAAAAAATTAGCGCATGAGAGACAAGAGAGAAGATGTAGAGAATGATAACACATACCATCGAACCAATGACGATGACAACGAAATAGGGGTGATAGAGACAAAATGAAAAATAAGAGCTAGGAGAGAATAAGGGAGAAGACAAAGCACAAAGAGTAAAAATATGAAATAAAATCTGGAATATAATATACATATTTAAATCAATTGTTATACAATTGATTTAGAAAAAGGATTTTCTAAATCGATTATCCTAATAATCGATTTAGAAAGCCTTTTTCTAAAGATTTGGAAAGGTGGTCTAACATTCACTTTCAAAATCCGGTTTCCTACATCCGATTTTAAAAGTATAGTCTAAGTCGATTATTCAACAAAGGATTTAGAAAGTCTTTGCTTTATTTTCAATTTTTCCATCATATATATGAGATATAAAATCGATTATAAATAAGAGTATTTTAATAAAATAAAATGAGTTGAGTTGAGTTGGGTTAAGTGAGGGTCTATTGGACTCCAAAAGCCTAACCCAAAGTTAGCTTATCACAATAGTAAGAGGATTTAGTCTAAATGCCTTTTAGTTATACGATTTTGAGCCCTAACATTGTAGAGGAAAACTATTGAAGAGTATGAGACATTGCCTAGAGAGCTAGACGGACAATGTCTAGATCCCTAAACCACACTCGACAAGCCAATATCATCATTTAAGGTAGGAGGGGAAGTAAGATTATCTCACATATTGGAACATATAAAGAATGTAGGTAGTGAGACGATCCCTACAACTCAATATTTATAATGTGAAAATATAATTAAATAATAATTTTAACCATATTATTTAACCATTGTAATTTAAATCATTGAAAAATTAAATTAACTAAGTCATATCTTAAATCAACATAAACATAATTCATTTAATAACTCATTTTTTATATCAAATTTCAGTGATTTAATAATTGAATTAAAAATTCTTAATATATAAATCATATAATACTTCGTTATACAGATTCAAATCAAAGTATAAAATATTTTTGTAATTATCCATTAATTTAAATTAATAGAATGAAGTATCAAATGATTTTTAATTTTTTAAAAAGATTTGTAGACTTGATTTATACATTGAAAACTTTTAATTTAACGATTGAATCACTAAAATTTTATGTAGAACATGAGTTATTGACTGGAATAAGTTTTCTAAGACTTACTTTGGGAGTAAGTGAAGGAGGGATCCACTTATTTTAAGAGTAAGTCTACTTAAAATTACTCCATTCAACAACTCATGTCAAATTTTAACGATAAAACTGTTAAATTAAAAGTTTTAAATACATAGATCAAGTCTGCAAAGTTTTAAAAAATTAGAAAACCATTTGATATTCTATTTCATTAATTCAAATTGACATATAATCATAAAAGAATTTTATACGTTGATTTGATTTAATGAAATGAAGCATCAAATAATTTTTAATTTTTTTTAAAACTTTGTAGACTTAATATATATATATATATTAAGAACTTTAAATTCAACGGTTGAATCATTTAAATTTGATGTAAAACATAAGTTATTAAGTAGAGATCTAAGTAAGCTTATTCTTAGAGTATACCTAGACTTATTTTATTAAGTAACTCATGTTCTCTCTCTCTCTCTCTCTATATATATA